CACACACACACACACACACACACACACACACACACACACACACACACACACACACACACACACACACACACACACACACAGACACACACACACAGCCTGTGGTTGGGCTGATAGCTAACTCCAGGCAAAGCCCATCTGTCTCATTACAGAAACTGGTCCCACTAGAGAATTTGCATTGTTTATGAACACACACACACACACACACACACACACACACACACACACACACACACACACACACACACACACACACACACACGCACACACACACACACACACACACACACAGCGTATGAACACATTGTTGGCAGTGCAGTTAGCCTTGCTCAACATCAGAGCTGCTGGAAACTGAAGCAGCTTGATGTGACAGTAGAATGGATAATAAATAAAGAGAAAAACGATTTAAATGATTAAACAAATATACCCTCCTTGGTTTGAGTTTTACAACAGATTGTGTAACAGTTCGACCCAGAACAGCTGCTCTGGTTGAGTGATAATTATCGGAATTGAGCTTAACAGTTGAACAGTGAAGCAGTAAACATCTTTTGATCAAATATTTAATTTCACATTTGAATCCCACATAACTTATGTAATACTTGAGCTAAGTATTGTCTTTAGGTAATAAACTTTGTATTATGGAAACAATTATTAAAAAGAACTTGCCATCTTCCAACACATAGGCTACTGTGGTTCAGGTACAAATGTTACCTTAATCATTGTGGGTCAAATGTTTTGTTGTCAAACAGAAGGCAAACAAAACACATGCTTGTTGATTTGTTCATGTATCAGTTGCACTGCATGAGATACATTGAGAAATCGCTTCACCTTGCACTTATTTCTGTCCCTGAATTCAAATCTGCCATTTTCAGCTGGTATTGAGTGATGTTTCATGAATCAGCAAACTCTGCCAAACATCTGTTCCCTGCATGAAAGGCACCAAATTCACATGTTTTTCAGTTGTCCTTCATGTTTGATTTCTAGCACCGAAGTAATGAATATAATGTTTAGTGATACACAATAAATCATTAAGACCCTCGCTTTTTATTTACTCACTTCATTCAACATTAAACACGACTCTGTCATCCTCAGACAAGTGTCTCAAATAGAAACATTCTTTGGCTTTCTAATGGATTAAGTGTCCCAATCAAGCTGTAGGATATGTCATCTAAAACAAGTGTATTGTAAGTGAAGGGAAGCAAACTAAATACAAAGCTCCTAGAGGAAGACTGGCTGACTCCAAGCAGAGTGAGGCCAGGAAGCTCTCCCTGATAATTGCATTGGTGCATCTTAATTCCCTTAAATGGGCCCTATTATGCTTTTGGGGGGGGGGGGGTTCTCTTTCCTGTAGTTTGTTATATAGGTCTTTGTGCATGTGAATGGTGTGCAAAGGCAAAAATCCCAAAGTGCACGCCCTGCCTGAAACGCTTCGATTGGACTAGTTTGTTTGCTTCCATAACATAGTGACATCACTATGTTACACATGCCTCTATTACTAGCGCTCCAACGCATTGTCCGTGATTCGCTAAGGGGCTGGACATCCCTAAGTGGTTGACCAATCACAACAGAGATGGCCAGCTAACCAATCAGAGCAGTGAAGTGCTGCAGCACAGGCAGTATGAGAACAAATAAAAATACCTTTTTGAACATTAAAACATGTTACAGTAGAGGCACTGTACTAATATGAGCCTGACAATTAGCATAACAGGGCTCCTTTAACTGCATTCTCACTTCTTCTTCTTGAATGTGTGGCTCTCTGGATTATACTTCAGTTTGAGTGACAGCAATAAGCAACAAAGTAATAAAGAAACACTTTTTCACAGAGAAGAAAGAACTTTAATTAAATATAGTGAGAGTCAAAAAGTTATTTTACACTTCAAAGTTAAAAAAAAAGAATCAACATTATCATCTTTACAGTAGTAGTCTCCTGTGTACTCTTCCCCTCCACACTGCTGATAATGCGTGCATGAATGATGACCACCACTTTAAGCCTAAACGCAGACAAGCCATGATAAATGTTATTACTGCTGTTGGACAAGTGCTTCAGATCATAATTCTTCTAACCAAACCCTCTTTGTACTTTCCTGTACAGGTATTTATATATGTACTATAAAAAAGACATCCTTTAGCTTCAAAACATCACAATATTCTTTCAGAAAAAGAAAATAAAGATGACCCACACACTCACAGTCGCAGGCAATCTCACATGTAGACACAAACAGAAAAGTGGTCTCCAGACCCATATTTGAGATCAAATAAATACGTGGCTCATGTTGTGAGGGAAATGAAAAAAGAGGGCAAACATAGAGAGTATTAAAAGCACAATCAAAACAAGGTGGAGGAGGGAAATGAAGGGACAGAGGGAGCAAAGAGAGGACAGAAAACCTGACCGAACAGGAGAAGGCCTTCATCGAGCTGCTCTATCCTTAAATCCATCACATGGAAGACAAACACAGATAATCATAGTGACATTTTTAACAACTCTACAACTAGACGATGCAACTAAATTATGCAAACCTCAACAATAATGATAGGACAACAACATTGTGACAAAATGAAAAATATTGTCCGCTTCCTTCACTTACAAATATGAAAACAAATACACCATGGCTTATTTGAGTTTGATTGAAATTAGCAGTGGAAGTATCGCTCTTAAAAAAAACAGACACTATAATACAAAACTGAGAAGATGTCTGAATAACATTCAAATCTTTAGGCAGAGGAGCACAACTTCTAGGATGTGAGGTTTCTCTGTTTCACTTGTTCTCACTAAAATCACAACGATTTTATTTCCCTTTTTAAATTAGTTTTCTGTCTTTTATCAAATTCTTGATAACGCCCTAATAATTCATCCAAAATGTCGGCACACTGCTTTAATGACGGACCTTCATTATTACCTTCTGAGTCTACTAATGTCTGGCTGAGGTTTAAATGAACATTTTCTTCCCTTTTTTTTTATCAATCACTAATTTCCAGGCCAGATCCCGTCAGACAGGAGTAACACATATTTCCTGTTAATCAGATATCTTGGATTTACTATAACAGCACTTGATTCTAGACGGTTTTCTGTCCAGTTACGAATCTAAATGTACTTTCAATTCATTTGTATTATGTTATCAACCTAAATGATGAACACTTGACACTTCACTGTATGTATGGCAAGAAAAGACAAATAACGTAGGAGCTGTGGGATAAGACTGTATGAGAAATTGATGTCTCAAATAAGGGTTTTTGGCAAAATTGACATAATTATAAATGAATTAAGACTGTTGAACCACACACACACACACACACACACACACACACACACACACACACACACACTGAACCCACTGCTTCCTCAGCCCCGCAGTGTGTGTGTGTGTGTGTGTGTGTGTGTGTGTGTGTGTGTGTGTGTGTGTGGTTCAACAGTCTTAATTCATTTATAATTATGTCAATTTTGCCAAAAACCCTNTAATTTTCGGTGGCCGAATATTCGGTGCATCCCTAATTTCCACAATCATTTGCATTTGTGTGGAACTGCTTTTAATCTCCCTGGTCCGTGTTCCCGGGAGCTGCAGACCCCCCCCAGGCTTCCCGTAGCCTCTCCCTGATGTTCCTGCTCTGAATGCAGACGGACTGCTTGGTGTCATTGTTGAACCAACGTTCTTTTAATCACTCCGCCAACCCAACCCACCGTGATTTACTAGCCCGTGGCATCCATAGGAATCTACGCCAGCCAATTGCATCAAAGAGATAAATAACCCGACCAATAAAAGCGTTGTGAGGGGGCCGAATGGGCCCTTGAAATGCTCATCGTCCATT